CGCGCGCATGCCGGAATCCTTCAAAAACCTTCGGTGTCGGAAGGATTTCAAAATCGAATTTACAAAACAAACATGCAAAAGCTCAGGGTTTCGCAACACTGATGTTCAAAAAAAGCTTACGCGCGCGCTCTCGCGAAATCTTACGACAACCACACGTTTTTCAAGATTTTCAGACAATGCTACCAAACAGGCTTCCCGCGCGCATGTCGAAATTTTTCGAGCGCCCTTGCGCGCGTACCGTCGCGAGGATCCTCTGAAAAAACAAAGGACGAAGTGCAGACGCGCGCATCGTCTCGCGCGCATGCCGCAATACTTCAAAAACCTTTGGTTTCCAAAGGATATCAAAATCGTGTTAAACACATACAAAAATACAAGGTTTCGCAACACGGACTTTCAACAAAAGCGTGCGCGCGCGCTCTTGCGTCGTCGTCGTCGTCGTCACCGTCCTCCCTCCTCCCTCGTCGTCGTCGTCGCCGTCGCCGTCGTCGTCCTGAGTCTTTCCTCGTCGTCGTCGTCGTCTTGGCGTCGTCGTCGTTTCCGTCGTCGTTGCCGCCGTGGTCGTCCTTCCTCGTCAGCGACGTCGGCGTTTCGTCGTTGTCCCTCATGTTTTGCCGTCGTTATCGTCGTCGTCGTCTTTCCTCCTCCTTCGTCGTTGTCGTCGTCGCCGTCGTCGTCCTCCCTCCTCCCTCGTCGTCGTCGTCTTCGTTGGCGACGTCGTCGTCGTCGTCGTGGTCGTCTTCGTCGTCGCCGTCGTCGTCGTCTTCGTCGTCGTCGTCGGCGTCGGCGTCGTCGTCGTCGTCGGCGGCGGCGTCGTCGTCGTCGGCGTTGTCATCGTCGTCGTCGTCGTCGTCAGCGTCGGCGTCGTCGTCGTCGTCGGTGTTGTCGTCGTCGTCGTTGTCGTCGTCGGAGTCATTGGAGACTCGCCTGAAACGTCTACCGTTGTCGACGTTGCCATGATACCGCGCCCGCCAAAATGCCCGCTGGTATGTGCCCAACGATCAGCGCCACCGCGGCCGCATCGGCCGCGCCAAACCAGCTGGCCGCTGCGCGCGTGTGCTTGGGTTGGCGCGGCCGCAGAGACGCACCAGCCAGCGCCGAGCATGCATCGCAATCGCCACCTTATGGGTTTTGAAAACCAAGTTGCGGGTGGGTGGGTGGGATGTTTGCAACAGCGCGGGATGTGCTGACTCGTCTGTTAAAATCAATTCTCCGCTTTTTAAAAAGAGAATAGACTCTACCCCCCCCCGGCGTTATCGCCCCCCCTTTCGGGTATGTAAATCATATATAATTCTGACCACATGTCCATCCTAAATATGAACTTACACCATCCCAAGGGAACCTGTACCGCTCCCCCTGAGAATCCCTTGTGAAAAACAATACGCGGGAACAGTTTTTTGTTCTAACATAAGACTTGTTCACCAATCCCTTGCAAAAAAAAACGAAGTGCGCGCGCGCGTCGTCGCGCACGCATGCCGAAATCCTTCAAAAACCTTCGGTGCCGGAAAGATTCCGCAATCGAGTTCCCAAAAAGCATACAAAAAACATGATTCCGCAACAACGATTTGCTAAAAAAAGCTTACGCGCGAGCTCTTGCGAAATCTCTCAAGGCCATCGGTTTTTCAAGATGTTCGAACAATGCTACCAAATGGGCTTCGCGCGCGCGCATGTCGAAATCTGTCGAACGCCCTTGCACGTGTGCCGTCGCGAGAATCCTCTGCAAAAACTTTGACGAAGTGCAAACGCGCGCGTCGTCGTGCGCGTATGCCGATATCCTTCAAAACCCATCGGCTTCGGAAGGATTTTAACATCGTGTGTCCAAAAAACCTACAAAAACACAAGGTTCCGCAACACGGATTTTTAACAAAAGCGTGCGCGCGCGCTCTTGCGTCGTCGTCGTCGTCGTCGCCGTCCTCCCTCCTCCCGCGTCGTCGTCGTCGTCGTCGCCTACGCCGTCCTCTGTCTTTCGTCGTGTTCGTCGTCGTCGTCCTCGTTGGCGTCGTGGTCGTTTCCGTCGTCGTTGTCGCCGTGGTCGTCCTTCCTCCTCCTCCCTCGTCGTCGTCGTCGTCCGTCGTCGGCGTCTCGTCGTCGTCCCTCCTATTTCGTCGCCGTCGTCGTCGTCGTCGTCGTCGTCGTCGTCGTCTTCCCTCCTCCCTCATCGTTGTCGTCTTCGGCGTCGCCGTCCTTCCTCCTTCTTCGTCGTTCGCGTTGTCGCCGTCCTCCCTCCTCCCTCGTCGTTGTCGTCGTTGTCATCGTTGTCGCCGTCGTCGTCCTCCCTCCTCCCTCGTCGTCGTCTTAGTTGGCGAAGTCGTCGACGTCGTCGCCGCCGTCGTCGTCGTCGTCGTCGTCGCCTTCGTCGTCGTCGACGTCGGCGTCGTCGTCGTCGCCGCCGCCGTCGTCGTCGTCATCATCGACGTCGTCGTCGTCGTCGGTGTCGTCGTTGTCGTCGTCGTCGGCGTCGTCATCGTCGTCGTCGTTGTCATCGTCGTCGTCGTCGTCGGCGTCGGCGTCGTCGTCGTCGGTGTCGTCGTCGTCGTCGTCGTCGTTGTCGGGGTCGTCGAAGTCGTTGGAAACGTCGTCGGTGTCGTCGTAGTCGTTGTCGGCGGCGTCGTCGTCGTCGTTGTCGGTGTCGTCGTCGGCGTCGCTGTCGTTGCCAAGTGTCATGTGGTACTCAACGTCACGGTCTTGAGAGATTTTGTAAATCAAGTTGCGAGTGGGTGGGTGGGTGGGATGATTGCGCGAGCAGTGGAGTTGACAACTTCAAGCTCGGCAAGTGGATCCTCCGTTCTAAAAGGAGAATAGACTCTACCCCCCCTTGCGTTATCCGTACCCCTTTCGGGTATGTAAATCATTTATGATTCTGACAACATGTCCATCCTAAATATGATTTTCACCATCCCAGGGGGGCCGGTATCGACCCCCCTGAGGTCCCCTTGTAAAAAGTGATACGCAGGGACACCTTTTGTTCTAACATAACACTTGTTCACCAATCCCTTGCAATGAATAAGACGAAGTGCACACGCGCGCGCCGTCGCGCGCGCATGCCGAAATCCTCCAAGCACCTTCGGTGCCGGAAGGATTTCGCAATCGAGTTTCCAAAAAGCATACAAAAACATGGTTTCGCAACACTGACTTGCTAGAAAAGCTTACGCGCGAGCTCTTGCGAACTCTTAAGAAAACCATAGGTCTTTCAAGATGTTCACAAAATGCTACCAAACGGGCTTCGCGCGCGCATGTCGAAATCTGCCGAACGCCCTTGCACGTGTGCCGTCGCGAGAACCCTCTGCAAAAACTTTGACGAAGTGCAGACGCGGGCGTCGTCGAACGCGTATGCCGAGATCCTTCCGAACCCATCGGCTTCGAAAGGATTTCAACATCGTGTCCAAAAAACCTACAAAAACACAAAATTTCGCAACACAGATTTTCAACAAAAACGTGCGCGCGCGCTCTTGCGTCGTCGTCGTCGTCGTCGCCGTCCTCCCTCCTCCCGCGTCGTCGTCGTCGTCGCCTACGCCGTCCTCTGTCTTTCCTCCTCCCTCGTCGTTGTCGTCCTCGTTGGCGTCGTGGTCGTTTCCGTCGTCGTTGTCGCCGTGGTCGTACTTCCCCCTCCTCCCTCGTCGTCGTTGTCGTCCGTCGTCGGCGTCTCGTCGTCGTCCCTCCTATTTCGTCGCCGTCGTCGTCGTCGTTGTTGTCGTCGTCGTCTTCCCTCCTCCCTCGTCGTTGTCGTCGTCGGCGTCGCCGTGCTTCCTCCTTCTTCGTCGTTCGCGTCGTCGCCGTCCTCCCTCCTCCCTCGTCGTTGTCGTCGTTATCGTCGTTGTCGTCGTTGTCGCCGTCGTCGTCCTCCCTCCTCCCTCGTCGTCGTCTTCGTTGGCGACGTCGTCGTCGTCTTCGTTGTTGTCGGCGTCGGCGTCGTCGTTTTCGTCGTCGTCGACGTCGGCGTCGACGTCGTCGCCGCCGTCGTCGTCGTTGGCGTCGTCGTCGGCATCGTTGACGTCGTCGTCGTCGTCGGTGTCGTCGTTGTCGTCGTCGTTGGCGTCGTCATCGTCGGCGTCGTTGTCATCGTCGTCGTCGTCGTCGTCGGCGTCGTCGTCGTCGGTGTCGCCGTCGTCGTCGTTGTCGGCGTCGTCGGAGTCGTAAGAGACGTCGTCGGTGTCGTCGTAGTCGTTGTCGGCGGCGTCGTCGTCGTCGCTGTCGCTGTCGTCGTCGGCATCGCTGTCGTTGCCAAGTGTCATTTGTTACCCACCGTCACGGTCTCAAGAGATTTTGCAAACCAAGTTGCGGGTGGGTGCGTGGGATGTTTGCGCGAGCAGTGGAGTGGACAACTCACTGCGAACAGAACTTAATTGCACCGCGTAGACTGCACCGCGGAGCTTGCCCCACATAGAATGCACAACGTAGATTGCACTACGTAGAGGACACCACGTCGGTTGCACCACATCTCTTGCTCACCGCGTAGATTGCCGCACATAGATTACACCACACACTTTGCACCACAAAGACGGCACAACATTGATTGCACACCATAGAATACACGACATAGGTTGCACCACACAGATTCCGCAAAATACACTGCCAGAGACACACTGTTTTGGGTCCACGCTGGCTAACACGTCTTAGAGCTACGGGCCAGCCCTAATAACCTCCCTGCCAGGTGTCGCCTTGCTGTCGGGTCCCAGCCACGTGGCGTCTTTGCGATGATGAGCACCGCCACCAGCTGGATAGATGCATGGCACTTCTCCTCCGATCAGGCCCATCCGAAAGGAGGGATGGGGAAAGAAAAGCGGAGGACGAGGAGGAGGGGGGACAGTGGGAGGAGGAGATCGGAGGAAGAAGAAAATGATGCGGAACTCTCCTGGGCTGCGTTCTGACCAGGATTTCGAGGCGAATCCAGCGGTGGCGACGGGGCCTCGCAGGAGACCCAAACAGGGGACAAACGGGCGGAGGGCAGCGGTGTGGGTACCTCTTCCTCCCCTGAGAGGAGGATGCGGGCGGGGCACGCCAACCTCCCCGAGGATCACGAGGTCGGAGCCGTCCGAGACGTCGCCCGCCTCCCCGGGGCGGCAGCTCCCGCTTTGCCGCCGTGCCCCCCCTGTGGCTGCCGCTCCCACTCGCGAGCCCGCGCTGCGTCTGCTCGTGGGAAGGCCTCGGCGGGTCTTCGGCGGGCTTCTGGAGGGCCTCGGCGGGCTCTCGGCTGTCCCGGGGGGGATCCCGGGCGGTTTTCTTCGGCGGCCGCTCAAGGGGGGGGGAAGTGAGAAGGAGAAGGCCCGCTCAGAAGGCGGCGGGACTTCTCAGAAGCCCTCCGGCCTTCTAAGATGCTTTCTGCGTCTTCGGGGAAGGCTCATGAAACTTCTCGGAAGGCCCGAGGCCTTCCGAGCCTTCTGAGAAGGCTCGCCCCTTCGTATTTCCCCCTGATTCATTCGGCTCATCGCCAACGGCTGTCCCGGGGGTTACCCGGGCGGTTTTCTGGCATGTCCAACTGTTTTCAACAGTTTTCGGATGTTCCTGATGGCCGTTGTCTGGAATGGGCGGGCGGCCTGGTAGTTCGTTCGATGGGGGTTACGGCTGTCTGCTTCTGCAGTTAAAAGCTACCGAGCAGGCCCAATCAAAATTTCGTAATCTGAATTGGTTGGCCGGTTGTGCAAGCGGTCCACGCAGGACCCCCCCGCCCCACCAACCACCTTATGGGATTATGACGTGACGGTGAAAGACTTCGGTCCAATATTTTGATGACGCAGACTGTTCTTGCACACTGTCTCAACCACCAACGCCACAGCCACCATTTCGGAAATCAGTTTGTTCTCGCCATCGCTCGGACCACCAGTCCCAGTGTATTTTTCGACTTCATGCGTATATTTGTTCGCAAGATGATTCCAGATGCTCCTGGATGGTCCGAGCACATGTCCGAGGATGCCACGTGTTTCGCCACGTCCGTTGGGGGCTCCTCCGAGCAATCGCCAGGAACAAATGCACATGTTCGAGCGATGCCAAGTGTTTCGAAAGCCGAGGAGCGCCAGCGCCAACAGCCGATCTACGCCGGCCCTGGCCGGGCGGCGCCAGGGCAGCGTGTGCGTCGACCCCAGCCCCTGGGTCGGCTTAGCAACGATCGGTGTACGTGGATGCCGCTGGATCTAAGACAACATTAGATCCTTCACGAACATGAGACTCTCTGCCGGCCAAAACTCCCGAAAACAAACTATATCACTCGAGGATATCTTCCCCCAGGGTGCACAATAACATCCGACAAACACGAAGAACATTAGGGCACCATCCCCGAACCGACCTCGATCCTGCATCCTGGTCCGACCGTATGTTTTTTGTTTTGCGCGGGCACCTATGAAACACGGCACGGCCAGATCGCTTCGCACTGCGGCTCCACCAAACCATCCACGGGGTCACGGATACAACACCACGATCATAGAGAGAAGGAAAGAGACGGGGAGGAGACAATCCATGTAGGTAGATAAGTGGTGTCTTTCTTTCGCACAGCTTGACACATCACAGCGTCAGCAGATCGGACTGCCGTGTTTCGGGGGTGCGGCTGGACCGCCATTCGACGCTACCTGCCACGACTTCAACTCAACGGCCGTATTCTGAGTGGGCGGAAGGGTAGCATGGACGAGAGCGAACAGGAAGCGAGGGGGACGATGGAGAGTAAGGAAAACAGGCAGGCAGACGGACGAGCAGCAGCGGCGAGATACAAGAGAAAACGACAGGCTGGGGGGGAGCATGTGCATCATCTGGCCTTCCCCTCGTCCTTCTTATCTTGGAGGCAAATGGGGGATCTGAACTGGGTGGGGCAGAATATCAAAATCGATCAAGAGGGGGGGGCGAGGCCAAACCCGCTCAGAATCGGTGTCCGGACCACCCGGTTGGCATCTGGCGCAATTGCCCCCCAGACCCATTTTGCCAATCTGGGGTCACCAAAACAGCCGCCGGAGACCGAAAAGGCAACACATTTTCCCGAACCTAGAACCTCCAACATCGGCACCCCTTTCTGCTGGCAGGAACCAGGGCTAAGCCACCTCAGACCCCTAGCCAGCTCCAATCCTCATCATCGTCTCCTTTTTCTCTCGGCGACTCTGAACGGTGTGATTTACAAAGGGTGTGGTTTGCAACCCGCGTCTGGGGAGGGGGGGGGACGGGCCAGGACTTCGACCGAGATCTTTGCTGCGCCCCGACGAACGCTCTGCAAACCTATGGCGCAACGTGGTGACCCCCAAAGCCCCAACGTCGCTGCAGCTGCCAATTCTCTTCCTGACGTGGGGCACGCCGCGTGGCCCCTCGACGGTCTCCTGTGAGGCACCCCATGACCGCTGGGAGCCCTTAAGACACCTCGGTGCCCTCGGGGCGACCCCCATGGCCCCCCCCCCCCCAGGACAGCGCAGAGCCTCCCCCAGCGGCTCCACGGGCGGGAACTTCCAGCGATACGCTATGCCATGAAAGCGGACGGCGCAGCGCTCCACTGCGTGGGGCGGGCGGTTGGGAACAGTTTGGGACGTGGACGTTCGGGGGCCAGGACGCGATTAGCGTGTCGTGCCGAAGCACGGTGGGCCAGCGAATCCCGAGGAAACGTGCCGAGGAGCGCACCCGCTCCACGGAGCGCACCCAGCGCGATCCCAGTGAGCCCCCAGTGCGCTCCAACATGGCGCACTCGCGGGAGCGTTCTCAGGGCGCTCGCAATCCTGGTGGCGACAAGCGTCCAGGCGCTTCACGCCCCGACGATGGGTGTGACGCGCCCCCTCGCGAGCGCCGCGTTAGGGACAGAGCCCACTACGGCGCGGCGCCGCCACCGTGGCAGAAACCACCGCGGCGCGCGGCGAGGGGGCAGCGCGCGGGCCTGACACCCACTGCGAACGCGAACGCTGCTGCCGACGACGCCGGACCCCCAATGCAAGCTGCGCGCCACGGCAGCTGCGCACGCGCGGAAACATGGTCCGCAGAGGGGGCACGCGCGGAAACATGGATCGCTGGAGGCCGACTCAAGGGGCGGCGGGCGCGGATGCCAGCGACGCCGCCTCCCTGGTGGCAGCGCACTCGAGCTCCGGGCGGCCCAAGTATTCTTTGAATGCCCTGGACGACCAGCCGCCCGCCCTCAAGATGTCGCTAAGGCGGCCTCCCGCCCTGCGGACGGTCTCCGCGTGGCCTCGCTGCAAGCGCTTCGATGTGAGACCCTCCGGCTCAAGGATTCCCGCGGTCCCGGCCGCGGACCTCTGCTGTCTCGCAACCACGGGCAGCGCTTCAATTGCCCCGTCCTCCAAACCTCGACGCAGGCCGACAAAAGGGAGCGCGTCCGTCGACGCCGTGCCCAGGGCGGCCATGGGGGCATGCACAGGGCATGTCGCCTGGCACTCCGCGCACCAGCAGCCGCGCGTCACTCTGCGCGGGTGCGGTGCGTTCTTCCGTCTGCTTAACTGCTGCGTTGCACTACGTGCGCTGACGGCGAGCCTGGCCAGGGTGGCCTTTTACGCGATGCTCTTTGCCGCCGAAAACAAATCGCCGTGACGGGCCTGCGCGGTGAACCGCGATCCTCAGGCCCCGTGGCGCCAATCTGAAGGCGAAAGCGAAGCATATTATTGATCTGCTCAATTTTTCCAAGCGGCGAATCATCTGCGCTGCCGAACTCGCGCTTGGCGTGGCCACGAGAGCACTGCAGCGCAATCACAGAAGCTCGACTCACGAAAACCGCAATGAGTGAGCTCGAGAACTGGCTGCACACTCGCCCCCCTTTGTGCAGCCACAGAAATAGAAAGGGCGGCAGCGGGAGGGTGAGCACGAGTTGACTACGGAATGATTGGCATCAGCCCGCCCAGGCCCCGGGCCCCCGAGGAGCCGCAAGGGGCGGACAGGGCACCCGGAGACCCCCCAAAACAACCCAAAATGGGACACCGACCCCCCCCCCCCTCCATGCACCAAGGGGGCCCCGGTACACCGACGGGGGGGGGGGGGCGATGTCCCATTTTGGCTGGTTTCTGGGGTCGCGGGCCCCACCCCAACCCTGGCGGCCCCAGGGTTCCGGCGGTCCCGGGGATGGGCGGGAAGCGGTAAGCACAGAGGGTGACGGATGGTTGAAGCCGATGCGACATCCCCCAAAACTCCCCCATATCATTCCAGTGCAACGCACGACCATGATCTGCTCAGTTTTTCCTAGCGGCGAATCATCTGCGTTGCCAAGCTCGCGGTTGGCGTGGCCACGAGAGCACTGCAGCACAATCGCAGAAGCTCGACTCACGAAAACCGCAATGAGTGAGCTCGAGAACTGGCTGCACGCTCGCCCCCGTAGCATTCCCGGAGCAGAATGTTCACATGCCCAGCGCCTGTGCTCGGAGCGGGGCAGTAAGCGTATAGCTCTTGGCCTCCGCCAGGCGCTGCGGAAATTTTGCAGATCTAGGTCTGAATAGCGTTGCATGGCCAGAGTTCTGGCGAGGGCAAAATGCTCCAGAACCCGAGCAATAGTCGGACAAGCGGTTGTGGTCGGCACAGGAGATGCCGGATGATAGTATATGTGTCGGAGTTCTATAGCGACTTCCATAGGCGCACCAGTGCACTGTGCTAACATGCTCATGAGGGACCTCACGACGAATCGCTGATGCGCGATGCGTGAGTGCCGTGCAAATAAAAGGAACACTATGGGCGGCGGCCGCTCGTATCGAAGCAATCAGGGTCGCTGGATCGTGATCGCCACCGCACAGAGCGAGAGACAACGCCATAATCTGGCCTGTGCGGATATCGCTCAGAAGATAGCGAAGCTTGCAAATATAATCTGCGCCGCCAACCCAAGCACGGCGACAGGAGAAGCACGTGCGCTGCAGACACGCTTGAAATAACTTCCCATAGTCTCCAAAATGCAAGGCCGGCCTCCAGAGCCTCAGCGTCCGCGCCAGGGGACGGCTCGGCCATGCAACAGGACAGCCGCGAGCTCGGCACGGCACCTTTGGAAGCGGGCCTGCTGTTCCGCAATCAGCCGGTGCCGCTGTTTCCCGAGCCGCCCGTGTTTCTCGTACCTCACGACACTCTTCTGGCTTTTCCAGCCCCCCCTTTTCTGCGCCTCGAACTGCGGCCTGATCTCCCGGGCCCGGTCGTGCGAGGCGCCCGAATGTCTGGCCTGGTAGGGGACCAGCGCCAGGCCCAGCCTGCCACATACCTTCTTGAAAGCCTTGGCGTAAGTAGGGTAGTCGAGCCGGCACCCCCGCTCCACGCTTCGCCAAAGCATCCAGCAAAGGTGCTAGCGGCTTCCAGTAAGAATGATCCAGGGCCACGCTCTCGTCGAACTCGCCTACTTTGTTCGGCACCTCGTATTCCCGCGAAGACAGGAGCAGGCAATGGTGCGGACAGCTCGAGCACGGCGCCACCACGTCTTCCGACCTGAGCCGGGCCAGGGGCCCGGGTCGACTGCACGAGCTCGCCATGCACAATGTGAACAGCCCCATCCCGTGGAGATTCAGGGACACGGACCCATTGATGATCCCGCACCATACCCCGAACAGCTCGGGGAGACGGCTCCTTGCCGGGGCATCGGCGCACCGCCCTTTGATTCCCCCCCAAGATCGGGGGAGGCCGCGGCCCGCCTTCCCCAATTCGGGGCGGCAATGCAGCACGGCCGCGACCACCTTTATGCCCTTGGACGGGTGGTCCCCCTGGCGCCAGAGGTCCTCCAGGTACTGCGCGAGCTCCTGGTCGAGGACCTCGACGTCCACCTCGGCGACCTTCGAAACGCGCATCGACCTGGCGAGGGCGTCTAGCTCCTGCACGTACGTGGCGGCCGTCCTGGCCTTCACGGCCTTGCGTTCCAACGCAGTGAGGTGCGCCAACTGCGAGCTGCCCTCCATGACCTCGGTCAGCCACCTGAGCAGCCGGCGCCGAGATCGGCGCTGCAGCGTTCGCTGTCGAGCGCCTGGCCCGCCCGCGAGCTCGGACGACGTCCCACTGCTGCTGCCGGCGTCCTCGGGGTCGCCTTGGCCGCCCCGCGCCGGGCGCGGCAGGAGATCCGCCAGCTGCTTGCCCTCCCCCGCGCTCGTGCCCAGCTGGCCACGGGCGCCCGTGGCCGGCTCCAGGAGCTGTGTATGGGGTTGAAGTACAAGAGTACAGAACCCCTGATCCGTTGGTAGAGAGATGGAGGGACAGATGGATATCTTTCCCTCCCAAGCGATCAAGGTACGATCGCTCCAACTCAGTACCTGAGCCCAACCGGCCAGGTGCGGGAGAGGTAAGGATAAGGAGTATATATGAGGGTATTACACGGGTTCCATACACACACCCCGTCCCGAATCCCGCCCGTGAAGGCAGGACTCGGGATCAGGGGGATGGAATCCGTAACCTCAGAACTCCTTTACCTTAAGTCTGAAAAGGCAGCTGGGCTAAAAGTCAGCGAAGCCACAGCTGCAAAGTGAGGTGAGAAGAGATACCTTGGGTCTCTTTTTCTTCTCCAGGCGGTCTTTGCCGCCCCCTCGGCGCGCCCCCCAAAACGCTTCGGCACTCGAGGGAGGAGAAGAATGAGACAAAGGTAGGCGGAGAAAGAAGATCTGAGCATCAAGGCAACGTAAACCGCCTCGCAAGATTTGCGAGGCAGGTGTTGCCACCAGCCATCAGATTATTCTCGACGCAATATTGTTAAATTGTTAAAATATGCATGCTAAGATCGCGTTGATGAGCACAATCTTGACATCAAACACAAGGCTGCCTAAAAGCAAATGTATGCCCAGATCGTGTTGACGAACACGATCCTGAAAGAAATGCAAATCTGTGTTAAAGCAAGTACCTGGCCAGAAGAAAATGTCGTGTTGATGAACACGAAATGATGTATAAAATCTGTTTGGCGACTCCCGTTGGCGTTGCTCCTTAGGAGGCTGCCTCGGTGATCGCAAAAGATATCTATATGTGTATGTGGCCACTTGTGTGAAAGATTGAAGTGGCCTAAAAGAATGTATTAGCCACCGCTCAAGGCGAACTTTGATGAACGGAAGTTCTGCACTTGAGCAGTGGGCCTTGCGGCCGACTCACTACGCGTCGCCGTCCTTGTAGAACCTGCGGTCCCACACCCTCTGGCCGTTGTACGTCACATAGCTTGTCGTAAACGTTTCCCAAGTGGTCCTCGGGATCCAGTTGCGGAACCAATCGTTGTACGTGATATCCTGGATGTACACATACTCGTCGTTGTTGCTTGCAATGTAGATCCAACATTTGATGTAGTAACTCCAGTATCGAAGACCCCAATCGCTGTCCTCGAGATTGTGGCGCCAGTAAGCAGCGTAATCAGATGTACGTGCTCTCTTGGCGCGCGGCATCGCGGGCATGTAGTCCTCTGCGCCTGAGGCGCTGGATGCAGCGGCGTCGCCAGGAGCAGGGCGCGGCGGCGGCCGCGGCGGCGGCCGCGGCTCCATGGCGTCATCGGACTGTTGGGAGTGTGTATCTGGATCGGTTCTCATCCCTGTACTACCCCCCCTCTGGTCAGTGTGTGACGGATCGAGGGAGCCTATCAGCTCGTTGGCAATCGCGGCAAGCTTGCGCTGGGTGAACTGTTCACGGGTTCCGTCCCCTCGAGGGAGAGAAACCGTAATCAGTCCGCGCGCCTGCCGCGTCTGCCTGTCAATGCGTCCCTCGTTCAGCCACCACTTTCTCCGACCAGCCTGTCCTGTCCTAATACTGACGTCAAGGATGTCCCACGCGTCGCGCATGTCCTCGACTCTCCAGGGCTTCTTGCCGACATTCACGCGGGCTCCTGTCATCTGATGATGGAATCTGAGGTCGTTGAGAAAGCGTTGAATGAGATTGGCGTATGGGTAGTACAGAGGTCGGTCGTCCTCGGATTCGCCCATTAATCTGCATTCGTGTGCAGGCGGGCTACCGGCTTCGACCCACTTCTGATACCTCTTCTTGGACGTATTGGCCAATCTCCGCAACTGGTCTTTCTCTGCGCCTATGGGGGATCGCGCACCCGTCATAATGACATGTGCGCCATCCTTCATGTATCTCGCGACCTGGTCCTCGGACAACGTCGTCTTGATCCAGTTCGTCAACTTCTGGAGGTACGCGAGGTCACTCTGTGTGGCGGTGCTCTTACCTGTGGCGCCTACGGCCACAGTGTATTGCCAACATATATCACAGAGTGTGCCGTCACCTGTGACGATACCGAGGGACAGATCTCGACCGCAATTGTTACAGAGCGGTATGGGATGCAAGATCGTCTCGGGGGCCCCTGCCGAAGTCAGGTGATCGCGGGATCCCCAGCGGGTGTCCTGACCGCGAGCGAGGCTCTGACCGATCTGATTGATCGCCCCACGATTGATCTCGGTGTTTGGTCTGGAAGCGATCGATCTGCTTAAACCCTCGATCTCGATCCGAGACAACCTTTCCCCTGGCAGTCCTTTGTACTCTATCTTGACGTTGTCGGTATCCTCAGTACCGCCATGGCATACGTTCTCCTCGCGAAGACGGCGAGCCTGCTTCTGCAAGGTGGCCTCGTTGTCGCCCTCCTCGCGCTTGACTCCCGTCTGCTCGGCTATGATACGTACCGTAGTCTCCTGATCGGGAGCTGCAGACGCAACACTGCCTGGGTCCTGGGGAATATCCTGCTCGGCGCCTTCCTCTCGAGGCGCAGCAGGTGTTTCCACCAGCTCTTCCCACGCAGGAAACTCTGGATCACCGTATGTCGCAGTACAATTTTTGTATAGGTTACGCAATGCCTGAAGTGCAGGATGGTTGTCATGGATGACCTCCTTGGCGAAATCTGGTAGCTCCACAATACTATATTTCAAGATGTTCTGGTATACTTTGGAAATCCATTGAAAGATGCCAGTGGTCGACTCCTCGATAGTTTCTGGGTCGAGGTAGTGTACCAACTTTTTGAAGAAGTGATCTGCACCACAATTGGGTAAGTCATGCGCCCGCTTGTGGGCATGATTGTACTTCAAATGATATGACTCCGCGTTCCATGCTTTCGATCCAAATCGAATTTCAAATTGTAAATGTGACTGGATTTTGTCCATTACGATTCTGTCTGCGCCACTGTGTATCTCAATGATCTGCCTCATCTTGATCATAGGCGAATCCACCAATAACGCCGATGTCCAACAATACACGCGGCAATCATCAGACTGTCTAATCCATCTTGAATCCTCGTCGGGGTCGTAGTCTGGATGATCAAGGAAATTCGATGGCGGATCAATGATGTTATCGAGGATGCTTGCCTCGATCTGCTCTTCTGCTTGGATGTCTGCCGAGAGGTCTGCCCTCATGTTGTCGTTCGCAGCTTTCTCATCTGCAGTAAGAACGATATTTGATATGTCCACGATTACGGTGATCAGTGGATCATGCGATAATGCTGTACCCTGTCGAGGAATGTCGCCCGTCTGAGCGTTGTCCTCGGCAGGTGTGGCCACCAGCTCGTCTGGATCAGGTGTCCGTGGAGCGGGCCTTCTTGGTGGTGTACGCGGAATACGTGGTCTATGGATGCTAGGCATTCCAAGGTATGGTAAGCTACCGCTAACCTTGTGCTGCAGTATCTCCTCGCTGCAAGATGTCGGGCCTTTCAGGGCAGTCTCCATCCATGTAGGATCGATGGCGTGTTCTTCGATACGAATCGGCAATGCAAATACAACGCCCTTGAGGGGCATGCTTTTGTCATTATACCAGATATTTACCCATCGTAAACCGTAGTTGAGAATAGGTACTTGTACCGCAAAGAACTTGTCGAAGATGCCGAAATGGATGATTGGACCATATATGTGTCCCTTGGACAAGGCAATCTTGGTATTGTGATTGCCTTTGGGCCAATGGTTGTCGTAGTGGAAGCATTTGGTAGAACCCCAATTCTTAATGACAATGAAGTCGCCCATTCGAACATCGTTAAATGCAGGACGACGATCCCAATCTTTTTGCATGATCTTTGCTGTGATTGGTCGAAGAGCTTCACGACAATGTGATAATGCAATCAACCATTCTTTATCATCTGCTTTGTGATTGGTCTCCTGAATCATAGCACGTACCATTTGCTCGTCCAAGGCGTCCTCTGCGGATGTACGGCCAGCAGGGGTTCCCCCGGCCTGGCCGAGGGTGCTGATGCTGGCGTCATCCTTGGAGGCTCCATGTCTTGGTCGGGGTCGATAGGTGCCAATCCAGGTGGGTCGTCAATAAGTTCTCCAGGAAGGCAGGCGCAAATCTCGTACTTGCTCAATGGCTCTCTGGCTGCCAATGGCGGGTAGTCCCATGGGTCGCCGTCTGGCCACAGCTGCTGGCCATGCATGTGGTGTGGTTTGAGGCGGCGAATTGCAATAATTGCCGCAGCGGGTACCACGTCCTCAGTCATGATAGCGCCCTGAGCACCCAACCAAAATCTGCAACCTGCTTTTGTGGCGATCTCCATGTTGATCACCAGCTCGACTTCGTTCTTGTAGC